GTCCAACTTGGCCAGAACTGCCACTCGCAACCGACTGCGTTGCCACTGTCGACTGCGTATCTTGGCTGATCTGCCTGACAGGACGGCTGGGGCACTCTCGAGACCAATGCCCGCGTCCTCCACATTGTCTGCAAACATCTGTTGGAACACCTTTTCCTTTGCCGCGTCCTCCATCTGAAGACTTGCCATAGTCCTTGGACTTGCCCTTGAAGTCTTTTCCCTTCCACTTACCAGCATCTTTTGTTTTGCCTTTGCCCTTGGAATCCTTTCCACCTTTCGACTTGCCTTTGTTGTATTTCCCTTTCATCTTGCCCTTCACTCGGTCCACCTCCATTGGAACTGGATCTTCATGTTTCTCCTCCTTCTTGATGTCCAGCTCCTTGTAGACCGTGTTGGAACTCCACGACGTAGTTGTCCTTTCATAGGCCAGAACTTTCTCACGCATGGACGTGTAGTCCGACTTCTCATCCATCTGCAGCTGTAGGTGTTGGCGTAGTTGGGCCAGTATTACTCGAAGTAGCACTGACAGCTTCGTGTTGTCACTCAGCTCTTCTGTGCTAACTTGGCGGTATTCCTCTGCCAGCCTCTCCAAACCAAGGATCTGCTCCATGACATTCTCCTTCTTGAACTGCGGGTGCCCCAAGAAAGCTTGAAGCAATGCTATCGACCTTGCCCTTGTCCTCGGCTGCATCTGTTGCGCCAGTTGGCGCCATACTTCAAGACCGTTGCGGCCTTCCACACTTCTAAGTAGCTTGAGGGGTCGGTTTCTAAGAAGACCAACAAGTATTGAGTGCAGCTTTTCTGATCTCTCGTGTTGAGAGACCGTCATCTCCACAAAGTCCAGCGGTCCTTCAGCTGTCTCGGCCTCGTTCAAGTCAGCCTCGTAGTCGCTTTGCGCGTAGACCAGCCATGACCTGAAAGTCAACCTCCAATCAGCCCATTGACTGAGTTCCTCTTCGGGAGTTGCTGGTTGAAACAAGTCAGGCTGTCTCACCACCTTGGCTGCTTCTGCAAACCTGTCCTTCTTCTCATTCCCAAACTTCTCCTTCAGCGCTTGGGCTACTTCAGCCACGGCCTCAGCGCTGGCTTGGCTGCTCTCAAGCAGCTTCACCACAGCAGCCTGGTCCATGGCTGCTTTGCCCCGGTTGGGGCTCCGCTACCATGCAAGGCAGCAAAACCCTGCACGGCAGCTCTCTGTTTTGCTTGGGCCATGAAAAGCCTCAGGAAGTAAATTGCATTTGAAACGCTATGACATGGGTGCATGTCTGTTGGTGACATGTGTAACAGTTTCTCTCACACATGGGGGTTATACCTCAAACTAGGCATCATTAATCGCTGGGGAAACTGGGGCAACTATAGGCGTTAACAACTGGGGAAATATGGAAACCTCACGATGAACTCTGGAATTTTGTGACTCCAAATTTTGAAGCATGAGCCCTCGCGTGAAGTCAATTCTTTGTGCAAACGGCTCTCCCAGGCTGAAGCCAGTTCAGCTGAGTGGTTCGGGGATGGTGAGATTGTGAAGTTCACATTTGGATATGGACCTCACCAAGGGCCTTCCGCCTAAGTGTTTCCCAAAATCCATCTCCAATGGCTAATGCTACCTGATGTTGACCCATGCAAATGATGATATCCCGTGGAAATGGACCAGGGTCTGTTGATCTGCCCCAAGCTCTCAGGTCAAGAAACCGCAAGGCTCTCAAGGCCTTTAAACCTTTCAGATTGTTGATCCTGCACGGAGATGACATGTGACACCAAGATCACCCATGCGTCAGGCACGTTCCACTCAAAATTACTGTGCTGACTACGGCGTTCTGGAACCTCTTCTTCATGGCACCCAGAAACTCTCACGGTCTACCGATTTTGGCAGCACTACTTCGGCTTGCTCATCCCGCCCCGCCTATTTTCCGTCTCTGACGCTAAGCTCAAGAGATCAAAAGGTATCAAGGCCAATGCATCAATGACAAACCTGGGCATGTCGTGGGAGACATCTAGGTCTTGGGTGTTCAAAATCAGATTCAGAAGTTGATTTCAATCAGCCTTCCTTAAGTGAACTAGTTTGCTGCTGCATGGCTGGTTGGAACGTGTTGGAACCAGCCCTTGATCCCACATTGGATCCTGTTTCGGCCAAGTCGCCAACCAGTCAGGTAGTGCCAAGCGATCATCTTCAGCCGCGGCTCCCAAATAAAGCCGTGGCCAGTTTTCACCTGCACAATCAAGTGGCACACAGCTGGGGCACCAAGGACAGCACCTTGATTATGTATGTATGCATAAGTATATATATATGGTTATCATTATCTATCTATATATCTGTGTGCACAGGCATACATAAAAATTAAATTAAAGGACCGGATAACCCCACAAGTCAACTTCTTCCAATAATGAGCTTCAATGGTTTTAGCGGGGACAGGGAAGGAAGGAAAGACAAAGGAGGTGGTGAAAGATCGAGAAGGTAAAAGGGTAGGTAGGTATGTATGTATGTACGTACGTACGTACGTACGTATGTAGTATTATGTAGTTGTATGTGTGTGACAGACCCAAGCACGCAGTGCCATGAGTGCCACGCCTGCCACACAAAACGATGGTGGATGTGAGATTGTGCCACGCCTGCCACGCAAAACGAAGGTGGATGTGAGGTTGTGCCACGCCTGCCACGCAAAGTGCCGCGGCGTCACGGGCGTCACGGGCGACCAAGCCAGTCCAAGCGCGCCACCCAATGCCATGAGTGCCACGCCTGCCACGCGAAACGATGGTGGATGTGAGATTGTGCCACGCCTGCCACGCAAAACGATGGTAGATGTGAGGTTGTGCCACGCCTGCCACGCAAAGTGCGCGGCGTCACGGGCGTCACGGGCGACCAAGCCAGTCCAAGCGCGTCACCCAATGCCATGAGTGCCACGCCTGCCACGCGAAACGATGGTGGATGTGAGATTGTGCCACGCCTGCCACGCAAAACGAAGGTGGATGTGAGGTTGTGCCACGCCTGCCACACAAAGTGCCGCGGCGTCACGGGCATCACGGGCGACCAAGCCAGTCCAAGCGCGCCACCCAGTGCCATGAGTGGCACGCCTGCCACGCGAAACGATGGTGGATGTGAGATTGTGCCACGCCTGCCACGCAAAACGAAGGTGGATGTGAGGTTGTGCCACGCCTGCCTCGCAAAGTGCCGCGGCGTCACGGGTGTCACGGGCGACCAAGCCAGTCCAAGCGCGCCACCCAATGCCATGAGTGCCACGCCTGCCACGCGAAACGATGGTGGATGTGAGATTGTGCCACGCCTGCCACGCAAAACGATGGTAGATGTAAGGTTGTGCCACGGCTGCCACGCAAAACGACTATAGATGTGAGTTTGTGCCACGCCTGCCATGTGTGTGTGAAAGTATTGTATGTGAAACTATTGTATGTTAAGTTTCTGTGTGTGAGTGTGTGTGTGAAGTTATTGTATGTTAAGTTTGTGTCTGTGAAAGTAAAAGGACTATAGATGTGAGTTTGTGCCACGCCTGCCATGTGTGTGTGTGTGAAAGTATTGTATGTGAAATTCTTGTATGTTAAGTTATGTGTGTATGAGTGTGTGTTTGTGTGTGTGTGTGTGTGAAGTTATGGTATGTGAGAGATGGTATGTGACACAGTTATGTGTGTATGAGTGTGTGTTTGTGTGTGTGAAGTTATGGTATGTGAGAGATGGTATGTGACAAAGTTATGTGTGTATGAGTGTGTGTTTGTGTGTGTGAAGTTATTGTATGTTAAGTTTGTGTGTGTGTGAAAGTATTGCATGTGAAATTATTATATGTTAAGTTTGTGTGTGTGAGTGTGTGTGAAGTTATTGTATGTTAAGTTTGTGTGTGTGAATTTATTGTATGTTAAGTGTGTGTCTGTGAAAGTATTGTATGTGAAATGATTGTATGTTAAGTTTGTGTGTGTGAGTGTGTGTGAAGTTATTGTATGTTAAGTTTGTGTGTGTGAATTTATTGTATGTTAAGTTTGTGTCTGTGAAAGTATTGTATGTGAAATTATTGTATGTTAAGTTTGTGTGTGTGAAATTATTGTATGTTAAGTTTGTGTGTGTGTGAGGGAGGCGGCGGGAGGAGGAGAAGGAGCCCGGGATACAGAATCAAAAACAAGAACCCCACACAAAGTTGTGGGGAAAAATGTAAATAGATCAATCATTACTTATCTACATCATTGATTCAAACCAAGGCAGCATGCTGGGAAAGTCATGAGAGCTGTGGAGGCTACCAGTGTTCGTCTGCGGATCCCACGCTGGAACCTTGTACATAGTCAGGAACTGCATGATGGTGTCAGCGAGGAACAACGTATCGATACCTCTGCCACACTACCACACGGCACCCAAAACATGCCCCAAGAGGTGACTCTGATTCCTCTTGTGTGTCATCGCATGTCATCGCACTCTTGCCATGCTTCTTCAGGCTCTTCAGGCTCTGCCGCTGCCCAAAAAAAGGTCTTGAAAGAAGCCATCATTTGCAGAGATCCATGGCAAACGCTGCTCCATGACAAACAAACCATAACAAACCATTAAATGGAGCTGTTGTCGTTGAACCAAAGATCTGCAATTCTGGGACACAATTTTTCAATCCCTGAGAGCCGAGAGACCCAAGAGAGTCATTGGATAAACATGGACACTTCTGTTCATTGGCTGCCACATCGGAGAGATATGTCCGATTCCGATATTATACTGTAACATGCTGTAACCGTCTCCCCTTGCAATCCCACAGAATGCAATGGCGTCTGCTGGATGGAAGGGTGTCGCTTAAAACAAGCGACACAGGCTGAACACGAGCAGAAAATCAACCTGCAAAGGCAGCAAGCCCACCTGAATCGTAGCCGAGCTCATGGCACTGAAAACATGTCAATCCGGATTGTATATTACTTCGAAAATGCTTGAGAAAGCCCTTCGACAGAACAAAGCCCATTTGCCTTTCTTTGCCGTAGTTGATTCTTTAATTGTCCCAGTGTGACGCCATGTGATGCCCTAGGCCACGCCTGCACGGGAGTGATCACAGCCACAAATGCCAGGCAAATCGCGGTGATGATCTGCCATACCGCGCCCAGGCGTCCTGAGATCTGGATTGGAAGGGTTGAATATCCAAAGAATTACTTCTAGATACTTCTAGGTTGAAGCCACCAACCAATTGAGTTCCAAGGATACATAAGTGTTCCGTACCCAAGGAGCAATAGGGGCGAGTCTTGAAATATTTCGGAGGGGGTGGCACGCTGCAAAGTCTGTGGAGACTTGTCGTTTGGAGTGTGTCCACGAGCCAGAGATCCGCGATAAGTCAATCAGATTTGCAGGACTTGTCAAGCTAGTGGCATTGATATGGTGCAGCCAGCTATCGTAGTTAATGCGAACTTGAGAGAGAAGCTGGTGAAATTGGTGAAAACACATCTTAAGCGAACCAGCTCCAAGGGTGAACAATGGCATGTTTTGCTGGAACAGTCTGATCTGGAGTGAAAAAACCGCCGAGCGCGCTTCCCTATGGGCAGCAACATCACTATCTACATCAGCATTTACAATGATTTCAATCTACACTTATCAACATGCACACATACCTACTCCTGTATATATATATACGTATAATGATATAGTGTGATTATTATGCCTGTATATACATGAAGAAAAAAACATATAATATACTGTATGTATAACATATGTGAAGTATGGATCCTACCGCTGCCATACTGATTAAGTGGGGTTTGGACATGGGATATCCCAGCGAGTCTTTTTGTTGGGTCCCACATGTCGGCACCTATGTCGGAGCGCAGCCCAGGATCCTTCAGGATTTATCACATACCATGGCTTTCCGAAGGAGAAGTGCTTCGTCCTCTGCGCTTTCATGAGTGTGAAATGCACACCTCAGGGCAGTCCGCGCATATCCAGGCATCCTTCTGCTTGAGTTCCGGCGAGGGCTCACCAAAACCCTCAAAAGATCCAAGGATCTAAAAGGGTCATGGACCATCATGGGTCATGCATGGCCATCTGTTTTCTTGGGGCTATTGGGTGCCCAATGGTGCCCATAATTAGGAATACTTTGTCATACTTGTCTCTTTGCCACTCAAAAAAAACTTCCCACCTGCCAACTGCCAAACCCCCAACTTGTCGCTTCCAAAGCACTTTTCGCAGGTCTATTCAGTTCTTTTGCCCGCAACGGCTTGGGTTCAGATGGTTCTGGCACCACTGGTAAAGCTGCGGTAATGGCTAGGGACCAACCTCAAACATCCAGCCCAGTCAGCCGAAGCTTCTATCGAAGGTTCAGCGAAAGCAAACCACTTGCAAGACTTGCAGAAAAAACGCAGTGCAAAAAAACAGCAGCATGTTCAAATGACCCCAACCCAATGACATGCGCACCGTTGACATTCCTTCCTTGACATCCCTTGGCCCCCTCCAATCATCTTTGCATCAAAGCAACTATTATTTGGCCTTAATGTTGTTCCAGGAGAGGGTGGAGTAACGAATTTCCTGAGTTCTTTCCCAGGCAAGGAGTTCAGGAAAGCATTCAAGAGCCGCTTATCTGGCGCTTGATGCTGGGAGATGCTGGGAGATGCTGGAACATGGCCAAAAAACTCTCATGATTCAAACATGTTTTGCCATCCAAAGCTTAGTGAACTACAACCAATCCTACCTCCCTAACATTCGATCCCCCTGAGCTGGGCCCCAGAACTGAACAAGTGGATCCAATATAATACTAAATAATGGTTTTGTTTGAGGGGTACGTACAATAGCATCAGACTATATTAGGTGAAAGAAGCTCCAGTGCCTGAACGCTGATGATCCGTGGCTCTTTCAAGAGTCATGAAGCCATTTGGGAGCAAACGAATTGAAATTGAAAAGCCGCTCTATCTACAAACACTGTGGGATCTTAAAGCTTAAAGGTACATTTACCATAGATCTACTCCAAGAATCAGCTGGCTTCCAAAGTAGAAGCACATCACAGTCTACACCGCACATTACCGCACAAACTCCTGATACATCAATGAACATTAAGAATAATAAATAATAATGATAATGATAATAAACATGATAGTAATAAATAGTAACCATAAATAGTTGTTAGTAAGAATAATAATGATAATAATGATGATTATAATAATTAATTGTAGTAGTAATTAATAGTAATAATAACATAATATCATATGATATCTACATGTATATATACATTATTCGTAACAATTCACAGGCGCAAACACATTGTTTTATCATTTGCATGGCGGAACAGCGTACCATGGGGCATCTGCCAAGGCTCTTCCATGGTTGGATACGAGTCACCTGCAGGTTCGCTTCTGCGTCTGTAAGTTGGTCCTTCTGCCGATCCACCTGATTCGTCACCGGCTGGGGCGATTCCACCCGTTCCACGCTGTTTCCAGGTCCCGGGTCGCTGCGACGCACCACCGGGTCGCTGTGACGCACCACCGGGGCCGACATCGTCACGGAGACGCCCGAAGGCAAATCCGTTGAGGAGCTGTGCTCCCCTGGCCGGTGCAAACCCTGCAGGGTCCAACTTTCCAGCAATTGCTGGTGCTCCTTCTCCAGCTCCTCAGGAAACAGAAGAACTGATGAACACTCACAAAAAACTGTTCGATTCTATCAGCTTGCACCTGCAGTCATGCTTGAATACCCCATGACTGGTAATTACAAAGTGAGCTCTGCATTTTCCATCAGTTCCTGCCGAAAAAAATCCACAGATGTTCCCCCCAATAAATAAACATTACATAATTTTCCATCAATACTTTTGTCCCAGCATCGTTGAAAGCGGCAAATTTGCTCTCTAACTCTGCAGAGAGCTTCTGCAAGTGCTCGCGCCATGGTTCCATGGTGCTGAGGGATTTCAAAATTTGCTGTAGTCGATTTTCACGCAGATTTTCCCTATATCAGATTTCATATCTCTGATTTTCCGTCGAGTCAAGCTTCTTGCAGCGTCTTGCAGCGTGTCAAGAGCTCGTCTAGTTCTCTGTTCTTGTCATCTTGTCTTTCTCTCGCGGTTGACCCCTTTTTTTGCTGCCTCTGGAGCCCAATTTGGTATGCCAAATTTTCACTCAAAGTTCCGGTAGAGTCAACCACCTCAAAATGCTTCAAAAACTTGGGAAAAGAATACGCATCACTGTGGCCGAATATCTTCAGGATTCACCAAACATACATATACCATTTTCGTCCAGCTTCCATGTTTTGAATTGTCTGTGATAATTCATATCCTATGACGTTGTATATATATATAATTAATGTGTCCCAACATGAATGGTCCCTCAGTTTTCAGCTGGCTTACTTTCACACATTCAACTACTTCAATATATCCACCATAAACCTTGGTTATAGTTAAATTGTAGACCAACTTACTTATCAATACTTATCATAATTCAATGACATCAATCCCTGTTGTGCTTAAGTCACTGTTGGTGGTTGCTTACCAATCCTGAAAGGCAGCCCTTCCTGTCACCGGCCTCGGAGATCTGTTTGGAGGTCTCCTTCGGTCGCGTCGGAGGGTTCACAGCGGAGCCTTGCAACCAGCTGGGCCTTGGCTCGTGGACCCCAAGTTCTCCATGATACCCTCTGGTAAACATACAAAAAGCTATTGAAAATGGCAATTCATAGTGGATTTTCCCATTAAAAATGGTGGATCTTTCCATTGCTATGTTAGTTTACCAGAGGGTATCCAAAAATGGTTTTTTTTTCCCTGCTGCATGACCCACTCTGCGTCTCACGCGCCAATGGACTTTGCCATTGGGGGAGGCTATGTACAGCCACAGCGGTCACCGCGGGAGGCGACTATCCGGTGGGCGTTCATGCCACCGGACGTCAGCCAGGGTCGCGGCGAACGGCGGGGGCTCCCCATCGACGCCGGGTGCGGCCGCGGCCGGGAGTTCGAGGAAAGTCTTGGCCAGGGCGCGCTGCGCCGCGACGGATAGGAGGCCGGCCCAACGGTGCACGTAGGCCTGAACTGCCGCCGAGCGGAGGAGTGCTGGCGCAGTGCGGGCGCGGGCGTGCGCCAAGGCTCGGAGGAAGTCGGCGGCTTCCTCGCCCCAACGACCTCCTACTTCGAGACCTAAGATGAGTAGGTGGCAGCGGCGCGAGCCGGAAAACTCGGGGTAGGTGTGTTCCCGCTTGCGCTGGGGGGCTGCCAGGATCGCCGCGCCCGGGTTCGCGTCGGAAGCGTGGCGCACCTGTCCGGTGCGGCCAAGGGGGCTGACGAGGGTCACGTCGACTGCCAGCTGAGCCCCGTGCCAGAGCGGCAAGTCGTTTGCGAGGACTTCGATCTGGCGTGCGTCGGTGACCGGGACCGCGAGGTTCATGCGCGAGAGCGGCACATTGACCGCGACGCGGGCACCGGCCTCGCGGCAGATGCGGGCGACCGCGCGTTCGATGGGCGCAGCTCGTGCCCGGAGGACGCCAGTGGTAGGTTTATGATGGAAAATTATGAAAATCCTGTGATATGTTTCATGGATTTGCGGGTACCCCCAGATTTTCCATGGAAACCTCCATGGGTCATTGGTCATTTTGAATATCGCCACAGGGATCCGGTGGTGAACGTTAAGAGCCAAGCCAAACGTCACCACCTGCGGTTGAATGGCTGAGATCAGCAGAAGGGGTCTACATTGTCCTTACTGCTATGGGAACCACAACAAGATCCGGACAACGTCAATACTTTCCAATGTTGCGTTTGATTTTCTGAAGGAACTGCACGAAATCCCTCCAGAAACAAATTGGTTATGCATAATGTTGGATGCTGATTTGTGGATAGATTCGCTATTGTGCCAAAAAAAATCCGAATTATTCTGAACCCATGCATTGTTTGGAAGGTTCACAAATTATTGTGGCAAGAAAACTTGGGAGGCATGTTTTTTGAAAAATACTACTAATACTAATTACAAGTAGCTACTACAAGTACTAGACATACCACAACTACTACAACTACTACATACTACTACAACTACTACAGGTACTACAAGTTTTACAAGTACTACAAATACCGCAAGTTCATCGGCAAAAAACGGTTTTAATTAGATTTCAATTGTAACCAATTGAAATCCTTGCTTAAGTGCGGATTTTTTTCCTGGAAAGAAAATGTTTGGCTCCCCAGTTTAAAGAAGGTATAGCTATTGTTGAGGGGGGGGCCTTGCACTAATCAGGACGCAACATTACAAAGGGCCATCTATTCACTGGGCATGGCAACGGACAATTTCAATGGGAGCATCACCTTTCAATGGATGCAAATGCAGAGTGTTCCATTTCGATCCATCCAGTATTCCCTATCTATCTATCTATCTATCTATCTGTGTATCTGTGTATCTGTGTATCTGTGTATCTGTGTGTCATGTGTCTGTGCCTATGTGTGTGTGCGTATCTATGTGTGTATGTGTCTATGTGTGTATGTGTCTATGTGTGTATGTGTCTATGTGTGTATGTGTGTATGTGTGTATGGTATGGTATGGTATGGTATAGTATGGTATAGTATGGTATTGTATGTATGGTATGTATGGTATGTATGGTATGTATGGTATGTATGGTATGTATATGTATGTATGGTATGTATATGTATGTATGGTATGTATGTTATGTATGGTATTTATGTTATGTATGTTATGTATCTTAGAGTGAGTGTTTTTACGGACCACACCCTAGCTCATCTCCTTAATTGCAGGGGTGGGGTAGTGGCCCACCTGTCCACGTAGTGTTGCACCCGGGAATTGAACCCGGGCCTGATGCTTATCCACTAGACCATACCAGCCCTCGTATGTTATGTATGTTATGTATGCTATGTATATTATGTTATGTTATGTTATATTCTGTTATGTTATGTCATGTTATATTATGTTTTGTTATGTTATATAATGTATGTGTGTGTGTGTATGTATGTATGTATGTATGTATGTATGTATGTATGTATGTATGTATGTATGTATGTATGTATGTATGTATGTATGTATGTATGTATATGTGTATGTGTATGTGTATGTCTGTATGTCTGTAAGTCTGTGTGTCTGTGTGTCTATGTGTCTGTGTGTCTGTATGTTTGTGTGTCTGTATGTATGTATGTATGTATGTATGTGTGTATGTCTGTATGTCTGTGTGTCTGTATGTCTGTATGTCTGTATGTCTGTATGTCTGTATGTCTGTATGTCTGTATGTCTGTATGTCTGTATGTCTGTATGTCTGTATGTCTGTAAGTCTGTGTGTCTGTGTGTCTATGTGTCTGTGTGTCTGTATGTCTGTGTGTCTGTATGTATGTATGTATGTATGTATGTATATCCGCCGACCCCTGCCGACAGCAGGGGGGGCGCGTCAGAGAAGAGATTACAAGCAGTGGGGGCCGTGGCCCGCATGCCCGGTCCGTCCATCAGGGCGTTGCTGTTTTGGGCCGCGGCCCGCAGGCCCGGTCCGTCCGCCATGGTGTTTTAGCCCTGCGACAGGGTCCTTGGACCCCGGGCCTGGACCGGAGCTGGGCAGAACGAAAGCCAGCTCCAGGA